CTGACTTGAAACTGTACTAAAAAGCCACAGTGATAAAATCAGCATGGTACTGGCAAAGAAATAGACCTGCGGACCAGTGGAACAGATTAGAAGATGCAAACACAACTACAAAGACACTCAGCCACCTGATATTTGACAAAGGTGCTAAACATGTTCACTAGAAGAAGGATAGCCTCTTTAATAAATGGTGTCAGAAAAATTAGCTTTCCACATGCTGAAGACTGAAACTAGACCTATGCATATCACCATGCACAAAACTAAAGTCTAAGTGGATCAAAGATCTAAATATTAAAACAGAAACACTAAATCAACTGGAAGACAAGGTAGTAGTCTTGAAGACATAGGGGTAGAGGCAGAGAATTCATGAATAAAATGCAAACTGCATGGGAAACATTTCAAAGAATCAACAACTGGGATCTCATATTACTGACAAGTTTCTGCATTTCAAAAGAAATCACCAACAGAGTGAAAAGAAAACCCACAGAATGAGAAAGAGTTTTAGCCAACAACAACCCCTCAGAGGAAAGACTTATATCCAGAATACATAAAGAACTGAAAAACATCAAGGCCCCCAAATTCAAAGACCCTCTCCAAAAATGGGCATCTCAGAGGAACACACAGTTCTCAGATGAAGACATACAAGTGGAAAATAAATACATGAAGAAATGTTCACCATCACTGGTCATTCAAGAAATGCAAATTAAAACAGCGCTGAGATTTCATCTCACCCCAGAAAGAATAGCTGCCATCAAGAAAACAACTGATAGCAAATGCTGGCAAAGCTGTGTGGAAAAAGGAACAGTGCTCTGTTGTTGGTGGGAGTGTAGACTGGTGTGGCCACTACAGAAATCAGTATGGAGATTTCTCAAAAGACGAGGATTAGAAGTTTCATTCAACTCAGCTATTCCCCTCCTGGGTATTTTCCCAGAAAACCTGAATAGGTCATGTCACAATGATGTATGTGCACATATGTTCATAGCAGCACAATTTGTAATAGCTAAATCTTGGAAACCACCAAAATGCCCATCAACTGCAGAGTGGATAAAAAAGATGTGGTAGATTTATACAATGGAAAATTACTCAGCTATAAAAAGGATGGTCTTCAGGCCTTCATATTGAAATGGAGACAACTTGAGACAATCCTCATAAGTGAAATAAATAATCATATTTATAAATATCACATTGTGTCTCTAGTGTAAAAAAATAATAACTGTAGGAGTAGTAAAACCCAAAATGTGTAATTGCTATTATAAAACAGAGAGGAAAAGAAAGCGCTCTAAAGGATTTAATTGCATGTAAGTTTAAGTGTGTAAGATAGATGACCGTATTACTCAGTTTTTGTTGGATCATTGAACAGAACTGTTTGCAGTCTCACTGTTTGAATCTCCACTTTGTATGCTTTTGTAACTTAAAGCACTGTTTCTAAGATGACAGTATGTAATTTATCAACTAGTGATTTCTTATTGTTTTTTTTTTTTTTTGGAATTCTGTATTGTTGCTACCCTTCTTTCTGTTTTGCTTTTTTTTTCTCTTTAAATAAAATTTTATAAAAAGATGTGGTATTTTGTACAGTCACAAAGAAGGATAACCTGTACACTTTTATAGGTATATCAACACATCTTGAGATCATTCTTATAATTGAAATAAATCAGACACATATGTTTAAACATTATACTGTCTCACTAGTGTGAGAAGCTGTAAGAAACTATATATAATATATATATTCATATATATATATATCATAGTTAAATTAAGATAGTTATATTACTGATTTCTCTGAGTTCACTGAAGAGAAAAATTTGTGTCTGTATTGTCTGAACAATTGAATGCAGATGTTCTGTTCTAGAGATGACTGATTTGGGGATGGCAATGTGCAATGTGTGTACCATTGTTGCCTCCTGATTGTTGTGTTTTGACATTTTTCCCCCTTTGAAATAAAATGGATTTTTAAAAGTAGCAATAAAAATATCAAAAATAAATTCAGTCATTAGGCTCAAAATTGATCTTGTGGGGAAATTTGATTTGATTCTCATCAAATTTAGTTTTCAATCAGAATTGCAGAGAGAATTGAATTCGTGAACCAAGACGCCACTGTATTTTTACTGGGATTCCATTGTTTATATATCAGTTTTGGAAGTATGGCCATTTTGACAATGTTTGTTTTGCCTATTCAGGAATAGAGTATGTCTTTCCATTTTCTGATATTCTCTTCGTTATCCTTTTTATAGTTTTCAGTTCCTATATTGGATTTTAATTCTTAAATATGTATTTAATTTTTCTTGAAACTACAATAAATAGTATTGTTTTATTTAAAAATGTTTTATAGGTAATGTTAATGTATGTCAGTATACAGTTGTCAGTATGAATGAAGAGAAACACGTATCTACCCCAAATTAACATACTTAACTTAATGTTACCAGAAGGATACCGGTAACCAAATGGAGGAAATAAGTAAATAGCCCACAGTAGAGATGGGTTTACCTAACATCACCATACGTGACAGCAAAATGAGCAGAGAAGCAGTCAAAAATATAAGTAATGAATAGGAGCTAGAGAAGAGGACAACAATAGAGATGGGCTCTCAGGGACCAGGTGAACATCACAGGAAATACGGATAGAAGGAAAGCTGGAGAACACAACAATTTCATATGCTAGACTCAAAAATACATTTTTTCAGAACTTCAACAATTTCATACAAGATCAAGGTGACATAAACAACAGTGGAAAAGAATTCCATGAAGTGCAAGATGTGGGATTAGTGTGTTATAAAATATCATGAGTGTGGGATTAGTGTGTTATAAAATACCATGAGATGGCTGAATATTAATCTAGTATGCCAAAATACACAGAATAAATCTACAAAGAAAGAACAAAGAATTGAAATTAGCATTTTTTCTTCAAGAAAAAACAAACCAGTAAAATACAAATAAAACCCAGGACTTAAGTTTATATAATTGACAGTATTCAGTAGGGTAAAAAGTATTAAATAATGAAACAAAGGATGTCCTTGTAAAGACATTTCTAGAATTAAGGGAGGAATAAAACAAAATTATAGTGTGAAGATATTAAGGTTCTAAATTTAGAAACAATGATTTAACACACAAGTGTAATTTAACAGTATGTTCTAAGTTACATAAAGAAGTAAACAATTCAGCTTGTTGAAAAACTTCTATAATTATGTAAATTTTATACAGACTCTTGAATTACACTTTCTACAGTGAAGAAAATCCTCTAAATATAGAACTAATAGATAACCCCTGATAGAACAGATTCACAAACCACAAATAGGAACTAAAGAAAACAACAAATGCCATAAAAAATGTATAACTTCTGATTAAACACAAAAAAATGGTTCATTTATAATACATGGTGAGGCACAAGATAAATGCAGTTTTTTTAAAAAGTACAGTAGACTTTAAAAATGTAAGGCATCACCCAACTTCACAGTTTCTCAGTAAGATACCTGAAAACCATATTTTCTTAAGTTTGAACTCACACTACATTCAACAAAAGCCTGAGCAAATGTTTCTTGTTCTAAATGAATAATGGCACCCAAAAGGAATCAAGGGTGGCTTACTGCAAAGTCTCATGCATGTGAGAAAATGAACATGAGAAATGTGTTGCAAAGGAATTTTTCTATGCTTGCAAAGGAATTTTTCTAAACAAAACCAGTGCGGGCTCAGAGGAGATCACTGTCACCGTATGTGGCCAAAAGTGTCGCTGTGCCACAGAAAGACAATTTCGTGACAGAACTCAAAAACCAGAAAGCAGCTAGAAACAAGACTTGGTAAACAGTGTTTGTGGTATTTGTTTCTATTGCAGCAACTGAGTGAGGTTTCCAGGGGCAGGTGGCCAGTGGCAGAATGCTATTCAAGTATACCAGGGAAATCGTCCTCTCTCCTAAATTGTTATATAAATGCATTCCAGGGGACAGTTCACAAGAAGCTACCTGTAACCTCAAAGTGATTACCACAGCAGAAAAGGATGACAGGTCAGACCCTAGGAATCTGCATGTCAAAAGCAAACTTAATTGTGTGTCAACTATTTTGGAGATGGAGGCAGGAGGACAAGAACTTCAGTGCTAGCCTGGGAAACTTAGAAAAAGCCTGTCTGAGAATAAAAACAAAAGGGGCAGGGATATAGTTCAGTGGTAAGGTAACCCCTAGGTTACATCCTCGGTATCACCAAAATAAAGCAAGTAAGTTTCACAGGCAAAATAGCACAAACAATAAAAAGAAAAATGGTAAATCAGGAAGACCTCAAGTTTTTCTGCTATCACCTATTAGTAAGAATAGTGGAAAAGAAAAAAACACATTAATCCATAGAACAGAAGTATTCTTAGGAGACCTTAATATGGAAATCTGTTCTGTACCCACACTGAATGCTAAGAACCTGAAAGACCGAGTGTGTGCCTCCCACAGGGACTGCTAATCAAAGGCTGGACCTGCCTTTTGACTATCCTTATGGCTCTGAGGAATAACAATCTCAGAAGACCTAACTCGTCCCCATTATACAGAGCTGAGAAGTGTTCAAAGCTGAATGCAAGGGCTGAGTCACCATAACAGGGAGAGACAACAGGGACAGCTCAGTGTGATTTCTGGGTACCCACATGTAAGGACAAATAGCTGTGGTTTCCCATCTCCTGACTGGATCTTCGGAACACAGGGCATGGGGTCAAACATGGACATGGAACATGGTGTAGAGACCAAGACCATGGAGCCCTCTGCTCTGATATTTATGGAAACAAAGCAGCATCAGGTGGACTCAAGTATGCAAGGGTCTAATGGAGACTCAAACAGTCCTTGGACTCTGAGTGTAGCATGAAAGGCAAGTAAAAGAAACAATAGTGACACTTGTCATTTGGGTGACAGGTGACAACTGCTAGTAAAGAGTGTGAGTGCCAAGGGAGTAAGCTTCTTTTCCTACAGAACTGTACTAAAGTTTCCCAAATGCTGTTTAATGGTGCAGGTTCCATTCTGGCTGTCTGAGAACACTCTTACCTGTGTTTGTATCTTTGACACATTTCCACTCATGTGGATTTCTTGATACTATTACTTGGCCATCCACCCTCCAGGGCTCTCTTCCTTGCTCCAACATGGAAACAATATTCAGGTCAAAAAGAGATATTCCTGATTGTAAAAAGAAAGACATGTGATGTGTAGCTTTGCCAGACTCCAGTCCTATTACTGGAGAAAGAGATTTTAGAGTGATCTAGACAAATATTTCACTGTTCTACAAAAATATTTAGTACTCTTCCAAGCACCAATGATTCAAAAGCAGTGGTATAAGAACAAGGAACCATGTATTTTAAAAATCTGTTATAAGCCTTCATGTATATTTCCACTATGGAACCATGCGTGACATATTCATCATGAAGAGAATGGAACACTTGAAGAAAGAAGACAGTTAAGTTCAGATTCCACACTGTGAAGCCTCACAGTTCAGAGGCAACTGGGCATCTGTCTCTGTCAAACAATGCAGAAAATGCCATAAAGACCAAGGGGATATGAGGGTACAAAGTAGATCTGACTGCTGGATGGAAGTCATCCTCACCTACAGAGATCAGGTTACTGTAGTTCTCCAACATCACCTCTCTGTAAAAAGTTCTCTGAACAGGGTCCAAGAATTTCCATTCTTCCTGGGTGAATTCTATGGTCACATCCCCAAATGTCAACAGGTCCTAAAAAGAAATAAATATTTTACCACGAGGAAATGTGGAGAGTTATAATCTCCATATAAAATGAAAGATAGAGAAATGTAAGGGTTAATTCAATTGAAGTGAGTAAGTTAGATCCATGCTGTCATGTCAGGAGTTTCCAGATCAAGCTCATTTTGAAACTCCCAAGTGATATAGTGTTCTATGAGAATGAGCTAACTGGTGCTGGGAGGTTCCCAGGTCACTTCAGCAGATGTTGGTCATCATGAAGACCTAGGAAGAATTAGTAATGATATTCAGTTCCACCCCCAACCTCCAGGGAAGAGAGGACATCTAACCTTTGCACTGATTAGAATGTTAACGATATAACTAACCATGCCTATGGAATGAAGCTTCTATAAAAACTCTAAAATACAGGGTTCAAAGGAGCAGGCAGATGGGTGAATATCTGGAGGTTTCCAGAAAGTAAAGCAACCAGAGATGGCATAGATACACTATGTTTCTTATCCCGCAGCTCACCCTATGTGTCTTTTCCCCCTGGGTGTCCATCTTTTCAATAAACTTTAGAAGAAAAGCTAATGGTAAGTGTTTTTCTGAGGTCCTAAAGCAAATTATTTGAAACCAAGAATGGGGTTGTAGGGATGGGAGTCCTGATCTCTAGCTAATCATTACGAACCCAGACAGAAACTTGTGCTTGGAGCTGTCATCTGATGTGGGGTCACATTTGTGGATCTGAGTCCTATCTTGTGCCACTGTATGTTGGAAACTTTTCATTTGTAGAAGGACTCACAGCCAAGTTAGACTTAAATCTCAGAGGCTTTGGACTTGGACTTTGCAGTAATGCTGACACTGTTAGGACTCTAGCAACTCTTAGAGATGCACTAAATGTCTTTTGCATAAAGGAGGTGCATGTGTTTTGGGGGGATGAAAGGCAGAATGTTACAGTTTGTGTCTGGATGGCCTCCCAAAGCCTCATACAGTCATGGGGGTGAGCTTCTAGAGTTTGTGATGATTTATGGTCCAGTGCTGGGATTATGGTTGTGAATGCTACACCTACCCTAGGGTGGATGTAACCTACACACATTATAAGGAATGGAAACAGTCTTCTCTGTGCTCTTCCCTTTTTGCTCTTCTTGCTTTTGCTGTCTTTTGCCACCACGAACTGTTGCTCCTTGTCCATGCCACCCTACTTTGGAGCCAGCTGAGTATGGACTAAAATCTCCATAAACCATCAGCTAAATAAACCTTTTCTTCATTAACTTTGGATGTTGAATATTTTGTCTCAGCAATGAGAGAAAAGTAAACAAGACAGCATCTGGTAACAGAGAAGGGGGTTTATTGCTGTTACTAGACCAGACCATGTGGTTCAAGAGCCTTTGGGACTAACTTGTGGGAAAAATTTGGAAAATTTCTGAGATGTCACCTAAAAGTACAACATTGGAATGCCTTAAGTTATTCTGTATGGGAGATTCTGGTCAGAGCTCAGAAGATGATCAAACCAGTAAAGACCAGGCTCAGGAGGTTTCTGCTGGGAAAAGAACATTGGTTGCTAGAATCAAGACGATATATGTCATGGCTTGGCAGAAAGTTTGTCTGCATTTTGTTCATATCCAGAGACTTTGCCTGAGGCAAAGATTGAGGGGAGTGGAGTAATTAAACTGATGGAAGAAATTTCAAGGCAGTCAAATGTTGTGGCAGTGGTGTGGCTCTTGTTGGGGACTTTTAGTCAGATTTATGCTGCAAATCAAGAACAAAGAGTCCAGCAGATGATGTAAAATATTGTGAGTTTAGCTGATAAAGTAGCTCCAGTAAAGCTGTAGATTGCAAAGACAGAGCTGAGAAGACACTGACTGCTGAGAAGGAACAGGAGAATACAAAAGATGGTCTGAGGGCAATACAAGAAGTAACAAGTTGCAGCCACCCATGCAGCTCTTGAGGTTCTTGGAGTGAAGGACTGCGAGAGGATGAGAAAATAAAGAAGAGACAAAGCTGGGGTCAGGTGGAGCCCTTGCCCTCCTGATGGGAGGAAAGGAACTGGCCCCTTACTGTAGGGGTGTTTATTTACACCTTTTAGCAATTTAATGTCACATGACACCCTGTTGTCCTAGAAACCTCCTGTTCAGATTGTCTTGGGGCTAGGTATTCTCTGGGCTTACACAGTTTCTTCACATGGCTTATCCTGGGCTCTCTGTTCTTGAGGTGGTCATGCTCCAGCCTTGCACATATGGTCAATTTCCAGTTTCAACAGCTCCCAACAGCACATCTCCACCCTTTGCAGCTTCAAAACTGCAAAAGTTAAAGACTGCTTTGAAGAGAAAGCTGAAGAGCACCATGTTCCACAATGGCAGCAGCAGCCATACCAAATTCCAAAATGGTGGCAGCTGCACCAGTTGCAGAATGGTGGCAGCCTAGAGAATTTTTTCCTCAGAAGTGGATTATTAGGACCCTGCATTTCAGACCCTTGACCACTACAGCCAAGAGACAAGAAAGCTTGGATACTGCTTCAGCTGACTGTAGACACTGGCATTATCCATGTGGCATTGGTTTTAGATGCCTGCAGAATGCAAGAGTTCTTAGCTTCCACCCACATTTCAGAAGGCCTGGGAATCCAGGCAGTGTGCCCTCGATAGGGTAGTCTGTGAAGCTGTCAGGGTGAAGCCAAAGATGCAGTGGAGACCCCAGAAGTTTAGAGAAGCCAGGAACATGAATCATTTGATAAAATTTGCAAGGAGGGAGCAAAGTGAACCTAAGAGAAAATTTTGGGAGCCACAACCATCAGAAATGCCATAAAGGCAGAACCGTACAAACCCTTTGGAGCTCATAATTTTCCACATATTGCTTCAGATATTCTACATGGAACTACAGGACTTAATGTTTTCCCTGTTGGATGTTGGCCTTCTTTTGGTCCCATTCTGTTGTATCCCTGTTTATATCCTTTGGAATGGTAATATTTATCTTATGCCAATGAACACTGGAAGTGTTTAACTTTTCATTCATACAGGGGCTCATGGTTAAAAGTTTGCCTTAGATCTCAGAGGAGACTTCAGACTTGGACTTTTCAACAATGCTGAAACTCTTAGGACTCTACCAACTCTTGGAGATGCACTAAATGTGTTTTTCATAAAGGATATGCAAGAGACTGGGAGGCCAGGGGCAGAATGTTATGGTTTGTGTCTGGATGCCCCCTCCCTCCAAAGCCTCACACAGTCATGGGAGGACGCTTCTAGAGTTTGTAATTGATTATGGTTGTGAGTGCTAGACCTGCCCTAGGTTGGTTGTGACCTCCATACAATACAAGAAAGAGTCTTTTATCTATGCTTCTCTCTTTTTGCTCTTGTTGCTTTTGCTATTTTCTGCTACCATGGACTGTTGTTGTTGACCATGAGCCACCCTTCCTTGAAGCCAGTTGAGTATGGACTAAAACCTATACAAACTTCAGCTAAATAAACTTTTTCTTCCTTAACTTTGGGTGCTGAGCATTTTGTTTCAGCAACAAGGGATAAATGGAATCTAGGCTATACTTAGTGTCAGGGTTACATTGAATTAGAGGGCATTTCCATACAGAACTGCTTGCTCGGTATGCAGAGAAAAATCTTCATACACCTGGAGTGACAGGAGAAAGAGAGTTTGTCTTTCCTATGCAGGGATATGATTGTGTCTCATTATACTTTTATGTAAAAGGTTATAGTACTCTAAATCACGTATAGATTTCTCATTTTGTGGAAAATATAAGAAATGCACAAATAAAAGACCACAAACAGGTTTTTCTCTTATGAAATTGTTAAATATTATGTTCAATATTCTAATTAATATGCAGTATCTACATGAGCTAAAGGATGAGTCATGTATTCATACTATGAAATGACACAGTTCACAGTAGATTTAAAGAAAGATTAGAATCTAACAATCATGATAATGACAGCAATAGTAATGGCTAAAGCTTTTGGACACTTCTAGGTACTCTATATTATTATAGTTCCTTAACATATATAAATCATAGTAAAACATAATAGCCCACAACAGAAATCGTTCCTTCTTATCATGGGGAAAACTATGTTTACAGACACTAAAGGGCTTACTTCAGTTTGAAGAGCTAAAAATGGCAGAGGAAACAGCTGAAACTAAGTGCCCAGGAATCAATGTGAAAGCTAAAAAATTAACAGTTAAGTAGCAGATATAGCATCAAAAATACATCAATATTAGGTTTCCTAAATTAGATATCTGGAACCAAGTTCACGATAACATCATGGGTTAACATAACATCATGCACACACAGTCACCCATATTAAAAGTTTCACACTGCTACCAGTGCATTAACAGGATATGGTATAAATTTAAGAGAAAAAATTTTTATAATATAGTTCTTACCATTCAAAAACACGAACTTAGGGTTGGAATGTAGCTCAGTGGTAAAGCACAAGCTTAGCATGCAAGAGGCTCTATGTATGAATTTCAACAATGAAAAATATTCAAATAAATGAATATTTAAAATAGTGAACTTGATTTTTAAAAAATGGAACTGCATATCCACATACTCATGCACACACATTACACTTAAATTAACAAATAGGTGTCTCTCTCAAAGATTCTTTTGAGTGGTTTTTTATGAGAATAAAACCGAACAAAATAAAACAGAATAAAGCCAAACAACATAAAACAGTGAAAGCAATACAAGACTTCAAAACAAGGCAAGTGAGCTGTGGGCATGCCAGGGAGAGAAAGAGTCAGTGTCTCCTGAGAAATAGCCATGTTGGGGGAACTGACCAAGAAAGCATCCAGCCATCCTTTCTGGTAAACTGCAGTGAGAGAAAGCCTCAGGTGCACCAAGGAGAGAATAAGTCAGTGTCTCCTGTGAGCCTACCAGCAGGTTGGCTGAGAATCAAATGTCCCATCCTCCCCTCCCCATTAGTAACTGGGTGGTTTTGAGGACAGCCAGAGTTGATAACAATTAAAGCACATAAAACAACAAAATGCTTGTATTGTTTGGTTAATTACACTGACCTAGGACCAGAGCATCTCTTGGGAGGATGACAGTATGCAATATAGCAAATATGGGGGATTTCCTTCTATCTTGTCTTTGAAGGCCAATATTGTTTTGCTTTGTCCTGATTAATTGTTTTGCTCTATTAAATATTCTGTTTTGATTGTTTTTCTTTCTTTTTTGGTACTGGGGATTGTACTTATGACCTCACACTTGCCAGAGAGGTGCTTGTGCCACTGAGCCAAACCCTCGGCCCCTTGATCAGTTTTATAGTGTTCTGTTTTTGGTTTGATTTTGCTATACGTGATTGAATGGACAACTATTGTGAAGATAACAAGATATATTATGGTACCTATTATCGTTATGCCAGTATCCTGCTCTGAAGTTCTGTACCAATTTCACTGCATTGTCCTGATTGGCTTTGTTCTGTCTTGTTTTGTTGTGCTTTACTATCTTTGTGATAAAAAATGTTTTAAAAAAAATCAACAAAAATGACAAGTGCTTCATAGAACTATGACCAATGCAGCTTTCTCACATGACCCACCTCACAGGTCCCAGTGAGATGGACTCATAGTGATGAGGAGGCTGAGGGAGGCCCAGGTGAGTGTAAGGAAACACAGCAGGATACAGGATTACATGAAGTTCACTGTCCTGTGTCCAGCACTTTGCAAAGGAGATACAGAACAAGCAAATAAGATCCCATCACTTTACCTCAGTAACAGCCATTTGTGATTACTTTTCTTTCCTATTCCTTCTTTTCCAGGTTTCTTCCTTATGTTATATGAATATTTGAAGGTTAATCCTGAATGTCAAAAACATAACAGTTTAAGGCTGAGAAGGAACTACACATCTCCTTACTGGTAACAGAGCCACATACATGTAAAGAACTTCACAGTGTGGAAAGATGGGTCCTCTGCTGCCCACTGCACTGAGGTGAGGATGCAGTACCATGAAACTCCTATAGGAAGCCCAACCAGAGGAGCCAGGCTGCAGTGAGTTCTTCTTCAAGACATAGTCCCTGCCCAGACTGAATCCATGCATACCACTTGCCTCTCATTCCTGCACAGGTCAAAAGCTAATCTCAGAAAGAAATGCAGGATGATTCAGGGATGACAATGCACAATGTATGTACCATTGTTGCCCCCTAATTGACGTGTTTTGAAATTTTTTGTTTTACTTTTTTTTTCTTGTTTTTTTTTTTTCTCTTTGAAATAAAATGTATTTAGAAACAACAACAAAAAGGCAGAAAGACACAGAGACAGGCAGAGGTGGGGTGGGGGTGGGGGCAACACACAGTCCAGTGGCCAGTGCTATGCAGAGAACAGAATCAACTTTAAACATTACTACGGTGGTCTACCAGGCTGCCCTTGGGAATGAGAAGCTCTGGCAAGGGGCTACAGGAGACTTACTGGCACAACACCTCAACATTCCAATGGGAAGCCAGCGTTGAACACTATCAAGGGGGCAACCCAGCCCACCTCCTACCTTCTAGCTCTGCTCTTCCTTTGGCTACTTATTCTCCTGACCCCTCTTCCCGTTTCTCACAGGGAGGATGAGAAGCCGCCGCTGGAGGACCACAGCTCACCCTGGAACGCAAAACCCTGAGGTCATAGGACAGATCCAGGTCACCTCAACCGTCCTGGAGGGGAGAATTCGAGGAGAGGCCTGGGCCTGGGGCGGGGGAGGGGGACACGGAGACCCCAGAGGGGAGACTCAGAAGAGGCCGGATCCCCTTGCGGTGAGGACCGCGCCGGCCGCAGAGAGGGCAGCGGGCCAGGCGAGCACAGGAGGAGGAGGGAGGCGTCCGCGGCCCGCGCGGGATGGGCAGGACCGGCCTCCAGCACCTCCGCCCCGCAGGACCCATGTGGCCTTCACATCGCTGTCCGAATTTAGTAGGGTGCAGCGAGCGGGGCGGGGCCTTGAAATTCTCTAGGGACCTAGATCCTGACAGGGAGACGCTAGGGAACTCGGAGCTGACCACCTGAAGAGAGGGAAACCCAGACCCTGCAGTTCACCCTTTACTCCAGAGGACGCATTTGTAGGTCTGCAGGAAACCGCTTGAAGCCAGTAGGCACTGACGACCTGGCCGGTAGACGCGAGCGGTGGGCGTGGATACGTTAGCGGTGGGCGGGGAGACGCGAGCAATGGGCGGGGAAACTCGGGCGGTGGGCGGGGATACGTTAGCGGTGGGCTGGGAGACGCGAGCAATGGGCGGGGAAACTCGGGCGGTGGGCGGGGATACGTTAGCGGTGGGTGGGAAACGTGAATATTGGACGTGGCCGGGGTCCGCCCTCCCCTGTCCGGTTCTCACAGTGTAGTTTCTCCTACAAAGGTCCAACCTTTCAGGGATGCTGGATTCACTGTGCAGTGTGGACCCGGGATCTCCTTTAAGGAGGCCGCATGGCATAGGTACTGGGCGGTTCTTGTTATTAAAATTAATTGGGCCTATTTAATTGGAAATCTGTGGTATTGCCTGGGAAAAGTGCAAACTAGAGCCTAAACAGAAAATTGTGCTCTTTTCTTTCTAAAATTGCATGTCAACGTAAGCCAATGACAAAAATTATACAAGGAGACATGGTTGGTCGTGATCTTGTATTGTTGGGCATTGAGAAATGCATAGGCACATCTAGATGTACCATGGACTGTCTTCATACCAAAAGAAGATGTACTTGAAGATCATGTTTTAATGTGTACAAAAAATTGAATTCTGAAAAAGAAAAATACGAGGAATCCTGCTGTGTCTGATGGTATGATGAATGCAAAGCTAAGTAACACACTGGTGTATTTTCTGGTTTAAAACTGTTAAAGATTTAGAATAGAAAATAAATTCCTGAAACAGGCATGCGTGGTAAAGAATGTTTTATTCCATAACCGGTTTTCAAACATGGGAGTCAACTTAATATCTAACAAGAGGAAGTTGTTTAAAATCAGTACTCTGCGAGGTTTGGGCAGGAAGATCACAAGTTCCAGTCCAGCAAGATTTAACAAGATCCTATCTCAAAAAATGGACCGGAGAAGTAACTCAGTGTGAAGGCTCCAGTACTAAACAAAACAATAGATCCTGTTGTATTTTTAATGAAGAGAGTATTTCTTGCATTATCATTAAGATTCCCAGGCTGAATTTGTAGCCCTCCTGCCTCCTGTCTCTGCTCTCCACAATCAATCCCTCAGAGTAGTACTGACTTTAAAATGTGCTATGATGCTGGGCTAGTCTTTTAATCTGTTAAATTAATATAAAATGTTAGTTAATAGAACTGTGGGGCACCGGCGGCGGCTGAAAAGATAAGAAGTATGAAATATAAATGATCTTTATTTTGAGAATGTGGGGAGAGACACCCCCATCCCCTGGGGCGTGGCATCCCCCCTCCCCTTAGCGATCTCTCTGTGGAACACGTGGAGTGGAGGCTTATAAGTAGCCTAGGTTTGGGGTGGAACCTAAGGGGGCATTAGGGATGCACAGGTAGCCCATTGAGTTTGTTGCCATAGGTAAATTACTGGAGCTCCTTGGTTCCTCCTGAGGCTTTACCAGCTACAGTGTCCTGTCTGGGCCAAAACTCTTTCATTAGTAAATTTCCCCATTGAATCATTTTATTAGTGGAATAAAGTCCATTTGGCTTTCATTAATGGCTAAATATCTAACTTTAAATAAACTACAAAATTACAATTTCCATTATATATGGACATATCAGCCTGAGGAGACCCGTTACACTGTGACTAATGGCATATCAAACATTACTTCATGTTTAGATCATTATATGTAGCACTTGAATGTATATGGCTTTTTCATTTGTGTATTTCTTTGAATGCCCACAAAAATGTGAAATTCACAGTGAATAATTGGACTTTATATCTTCTGAAAGAAAGATTTCATAAAACAAAACTAGGGATAAATTTCCCAAAATTATCTTGCACATCCGTGAAATCAATCCTGAACATTTCCCTTCTGCTCACTTTTTTGTGCACAGGTAAACACTGTCCTTGGGTCCAATGGGTGAAATATCATTTTTGTTTAAGGGTCTGTTGACATACGTGTTCCTTGTGGCCATGGAACTCTTTCAGAAGTGGGAATGCCTGGACCCTGCACAGAGAACTGTATACAGTGATGTAATCTCAGGGAACTACAGGAACCTAGTTTCCCAGGGTAAAAATGACTTCCTTCCAGAAGCCAAATCTATTGTATTTCTTTGCATTTTTCTTTGTGTATTCATGGAATTCTCTGCATTAACTGAGACAGGTGCCTGTTGTCTCTGGAATATGAAGCTTCACTTACTCGTGTCTGGATTTTAACTGTCTTTCTTCAGGAATTCTGCCCCTTATGGTATTGTATTGGTTACTTTTCTCTTGTTGCAGAGATAAAACACCTGGTACCCAAAATGGAGGAAGGAAAGGTTTATTTAGCTCATAGTTTATGGAGGTTTCAGTCCAGACTTATCTGGCTCCAAGGCAGAGGAGCATATAGCAGAGGACAACAGTTCATGGTGGCAGAAGACACCAAAAGCAACAACTGCTAAAGGAGAGGAGTGCAAGAAGGAACATTCTTTCTGTCCTGTGTATTGTTTGTAGGCCTCTGGGTGTAGCACTCACAGCCGTAATCCCAGCATTGCACCATGAATCAGTCACAAACTCTAGAAGCCTGCCCCCATTACTGCATGAGGCTTTAGGGGGACATCCAGACACAAACCAGAATAGATAGACATATCAGTAATGATTCCAGAGCTGAAGTATAGGTGAAGGATTATGCAGATTTACAAAATATCCAGTTCCCTTGTGCTTTTGTATCATTGGTTTTGGAAGAGAGCGAGATATCTGCATAGAACTGTAAATATTTGTCCAGATCATCTTCCAGCTACCTGTGTTTTTGGTTGATTTTTTTTTTCTGAGAATCTCCAATATGACTTTTCCTTTATTCTGCCACATTGAACCCCCTGATGACTTTCTTTAAAATACTTTATACAATAAAGGCTGCCACTTTCTTCAGAGTATATAAATCATCATGTTTGACTTACTTCGCAGCTACAATGGCACCCATTGTTTTGAATAATTTTAGATAACATTCTCTACATCATTTGAATGCATTTCTTGCTGATCCTAAATAAGGTTCAATAAAGTGAGTATTTTTGAGTAATTTGCACCTGTGGCATTTCTTCATGAGTTAATAGTTCGTCGACAATCAATTCTCTAAATTTTAGCATAGAAATCTTATGAGTGTCCTATTGACGGTGTGTATAATGTACATTTACAACTGCGATCCCACAAATTAGCTATAGTACAAATTTTAAAATACCATTTTAAGTCTCCCTTAGGGAAATGTAATAGGATGGTGTCTAGTCTGCTTAATTAATACCATTCTTTACATTATTGTAATAAAAGCCAACATCAGTTTTATGTTTCCAGGTTTTCCTTTGACTGATGCATGTGTATGATTTTTACAAGTGATTAACATACACACAGTTCTTTTATGAATCCACTTGAAAGATTTTACATCAGAATGATTTTTGAAGTTTATGATTTTGTTGTGTTTTTACTGTCTCTGATTGAATTATAAAATTTTAAATTTGGCTATGTCATGCTGGAGAAATGTATTTGTTTCATCAAAGTGCTAAGGATTTATTCAAATAATAGCTATGCATATAATGTGTTGCTCAAATAATGTGCCAATAAATTTTCAAAGCAACACCATCCAGATTCTCATGGATTGAAGAGTTTGCATTTTTTTTGACATAAACATATACCATAGGTGTAACATTAGGTAAACATATTTTATATGGAGTACTTTTTCCCCTTATTTGTGCTGTTTTCATACTGGAGAAACCATGTGGTATTTACATGTGTGTCCAACTTATTTCACTTAAGAGTATGGCCTCAAGGTAGCTAGAAATTTAGCTAGAAATGTCTCAGTTTATCCTTATTTATAACACAGTAGTATTCTGTTGTACAAAAACTCCACATCTTCTTTATCCATTCATCAATTGATTAGAATTTGGGCTGTTTTCAAGATTTAGCAACTACAAACTGTGCCACTATAAACATGAAAGTGCATATATCACTGTGGTATGATGCTTTTAATTTTTTTCAGAAAGATACCAAGGAAAGTGGAATAGCTGTGTTGAATGGAACTTTTAGTCCTGAGTTTTTGTTTTTTGTAGTAATTGGTTTCAGGACCTCATGCTTGCCAGGCAGGTGCTGTGCTGCTGAGCTACATCAACCCTAGTCCTCATTGTTTATAAATTTCCAAACTGCTTTCCACAATAGTTGCACCAGTCTACACTCCCACCAACACTGGAGAAGGGTTCATTTTTCCCCAAACCCCTGCCAGCATTTGTTATTGGTTGACTTCCTGATAATAGTTATTCTTTCAGGGATGAGATGGAAATCTCAATGTTGTTTGACTTTGCATATCTTAAATAATCAATGATGTTGAACATATTTTCATATGTTTATTTACCTTTTCTACTACATTTGAGAAGTGTATAGTCACCTCAGATGCCTAGTTATGGATACGGTCCTTAAATTGGGGAGGTCCTTTTTTTAAGTTCTTTATATGTTCTAGATAACTGTCCTTTGCATACGGAAGAGCTGGCAAAAGTACTTTTTTCCTACACTGTGTGCTCTTTTCATTCTGTCGCTGGTTTCTCTTGCTCTTCGAAAGCTTTTAATAAGATGAAATCCCAGCTGCTGTTGATTTGTGATAGTTTCTGTGTGAGTCGGATTTTGTTCATGCCTACACTATTGTCTACAAGAGTTCTATTTATTCTATCTTCCAGCAGCTTTAATGTGTCTTTTAATATATAAATCTTTGATACATTTTGATTTTAGCTTAGTGCATGGTGCATGATATTGGTACAGCAACATTTATTAAAGAGTCTATGTTTCTTCCATTGAAGGTGTTTGACACATTGGTCAAAGAAAATGTGGTTAAGCATTTCTGGAGTTGTTTCTGTATCTTCGAATCTGTTCCATTGATCCTCAAATCTGTTTTGTTGTGTTTTATTTCCCAGTACTGTGCTGTTTTATCACAGTAGTTTTGGGGTATAATTGCAAGTCAGTGATTGTGATGCCTCCTGTTTTGACTTTGTTGCTCAGAATTGCCTTCACTATTTTAGGTTTCTTCTGGTTCCAAATAAGTTTTAAGATTTTTTTTTATTCTATGAGATAATGCTGTTGAAATTTTGATTGTGATTGAACTGAATCTGTATAGCAATTTTGGAAGTATGGTCATTTTCAGTATATTGGCTATTCCTACCCAAAGGTAAGGGAAATCTTTCCATTTTCTGATATCTTCTTCAATCTCCTTTTTTCAAACCACTGTAGCTTTTAAAGTAGGGGTCTTTTACTTCCTTTGTTAAATTGATTCCAATGTATTGTGAAAGGTGTTTTCCTTCTGT